TTAGGCCACATTTAGGCATCCCGGGTTCTGGGACATTGTCCCACAAGGCTTTTCAGCCGGAGGCATGGTTGCTCCAGTGAAAAATAAAATTTGGTGAGTTGGTTTGGTTTGAGCACAAATGTCACAAAATGCAACACTCTGGCTGAGAAAGTTTCACTCCACTTCAAAGGTTTCGCAGCTGAGAGCATTGTGCGGATAATGGGCACCCCAACAACCTGAACTGAATCGTCTGCATTCCAGTTTCAAAGCGCGGACGATTTGCAGTTTGCGCTGCTTGTAGAATGGTTTCCTCGTCGGATGTTTTAATGGGAAATGCGTCCAATTTGGGACGGAGCAGGCATCAAGAGCGAAATAAGAGAAAGAAGCTGCGAAAGAAGGCTGCTTTGAAGCGTCGTAGATGCATTCTTGCCTAAACCTATTCTCTTACAGCCCCCAGGAAACCATCCATTTGTTCATCCAAAACAGAATCCCCAGCTTCCAGGTTGATGATAAAAATGACCTAAGGCTTACAGTATGGATCTGTTATGGGTAACGGCGCTATGGAGTCTCTAGTGAGCAGAATAAATAACTAATGTAAGCCATATACAAAGTCAAAAGGAGAAAAATCCGAGTAAATCTCGACCCACAGTTCAAAATAGGAAATTCCGTAGTTCCGTATTCCGTTGGACCACCACTATCTATCTTCCTGGTATTCCAAAGCTCCGGTGATTGCAACATCAATCCACAGGTGTGAATAGATTAATCCGGTGTTTGTAGCTAGAATTTTTGTTCACGTTTGGAGTTAGTAGCAGCCAACTATAGCCAACCGGCAGTCACAACAACAGTCACTCAGCAAAAGTCTGAAAGTCGTGTTGGACCCAAGAAGCGGGCGGTTGCGATCGTATTTCAGCAAAACAAACTTTTGTACGGTGATGTGACTGGTATCGATAGGTAGAAGGAAGATTGAGCGGAGCGTGAAAAACAGCGGTTTACAAGCGGTACAGTTGTTCGTCTCAGAGAGGTCCCGGATTATAACCGTCTTTTCACTTTGGTTGTTAACGGTAATGTGACTGGTATCGATAGGTAGAAGGAAGATGATACTGAGCGTGAAAAACAGCGGTTTACAAGCGGTACAGTTGTTCGTCTCAGAGAGGTCCCGGATTATAACCGTCTTTTCACTTTTGGGTGGTTGTTAACTCCTTCAAGAGGACAATCGGATCAGTCATATTCCGTATAGCATTACCAAACCTCGGCTAGTCCGAATCTGTTGTGTCATATTCAACTCCGACCATCACACGAAAGAATACTGTGGCTTTGTGTGACTCCATTGACCGAAATCTGACATTGACACTTTTCAAGATGTACAGCATAAAACCAACAATAATCCAGCAGTATATCTTACACCGAACGACCCCTGCGGCTAAATCTGTTCCCGGTCGAATACCAAAGGTTACCTGGCAGCTGTATCCACATATACAGGGTCTTCTACTCGGAGATCCATGAACAGTCTTCACTCTTTCTTCAAGGATACAGTTACGCATGCTGTCCATGGGAAAGTTCCTTCTCCACATTTGGTCGACTCTGGGATGGACTTCAAGACAGTACTATTCGAGCCCTCCCGTCGTTTTTAAAAGCAAGATCGGTTGAAGCATCCTCAAACTCGTCTCTCAACCCTGCGTACCTACCTCGTCACCCGCTCCTTTTTGTAAACTACCCTTGTTTTAGTTGGTCTCGCAATTTTATTACCAGTAAACAAGCAGGGTTGTCATCACTGGAGGTAAAGTCCTGTTCATTTTTTTCGATATTTCACACACCTAGTCCCGATATGCGACCAGAATCATCGGTCTTCGTATCCCAGTCTTCGAGGCTCTGGCTTTCTACAAACAAACTTACTGGACCAATTGCACATATTAGTTGCGATTCCGAACGAGCCCACAACCGGCGCTCAGTATCCGCACAACAGGGTTGAATTTTCGAAAGTTGTGACGTGTCCCTGATGGACTAAGGCAATCGGGCAAATGAGTTGAGTGTACCACTCCAAACGTTTAGGCCACATTTAGGCATCCCGGGTTCTGGGACATTGTCCCACAAGGCTTTTCAGCCGGAGGCATGGTTGCTCCAGTGAAAAATAAAATTTGGTGAGTTGGTTTGGTTTGAGCACAAATGTCACAAAATGCAACACTCTGGCTGAGAAAGTTTCACTCCACTTCAAAGGTTTCGCAGCTGAGAGCATTGTGCGGATAATGGGCACCCCAACAACCTGAACTGAATCGTCTGCATTCCAGTTTCAAAGCGCGGACGATTTGCAGTTTGCGCTGCTTGTAGAATGGTTTCCTCGTCGGATGTTTTAATGGGAAATGCGTCCAATTTGGGACGGAGCAGGCATCAAGAGCGAAATAAGAGAAAGAAGCTGCGAAAGAAGGCTGCTTTGAAGCGTCGTAGAGAACTGAAGACCTCTGCTGGTAATGGGCCGAACGAAATTCCACAACCCTCGGCACGAGCGGAAGACGAGGGATCCGATTCAAGTATGTCTGAAGACGAAGGTGACGACTTGCCCGTATTTGAACTCAAAGGACCATTCGAGCGTTTCAAGGTGCGTTGAACCAAATTGCGTTATTCTACTCTGTTTTGGGGTTTACGGTCGTGCTTCAATGTCGGTTGTGTTTTGTCAGGCTCGGTAGTTTGATTGTTCAGCGTAACACCAACTTTCATCTGGCTTTAATAATGCGTCTCAATGTTGCCCATTGCACTATAATAGCTGCTGTGCTGGGGAATGAAGAAATTTGACCGTAACTTATTAGAAAGTCTTATCTTGAAGAATCGAATAAAACTGGAAGGTAAAGGGACTTTAAGCTAATCTACCGCGATCATCCACAGTTCCCAACAGACACTCATTCAGACGCTCTGGGTAGAAACTAAAGTCAGGTACGCCGCTGACGTCGATTAGCAGCCATATCTCACGGTGGGGGCGAGATGGCCCAAGTTGTTAGAGCGCGAACTTACTGACCGGAAGGTCCGTGGTTCGAATCCGATCTCCGCCTCTCGACTTCCCCTGTCTAGGCTTGGGCAACCTGGCAGTATCTCAGCCGTCGTACTTCCTTCTGGTGGCATGGCAGCTAGGCACCGGAAGGGTGCTACAGCTGAACGCTTTTTCTCACGGTGTCCCCAACCATTTACAGGGGGAATCACGCGGATCCGAACCTGGGAGGCGAGTCGCACGACATTACCAAGCTTTCGGTAGTTACCTTCATATCCCTCTGAAGAGTGAAAAGCTGCTCACCGCTCTGCTTGCGCAACTGAATCGGATACAGAAAAACGCTCTCTTCGGCAAATGATCATCATGCGCGATGCATGAGTAAACCATCAGAGCTTTTGATGCGCAACATATTTTTAATTGAAGTCCCTGTTACACAACCGAACCTCGTTTTCTACCTATCTGGTCGCGTAAACTCGTTACCGATTTGCACGACTTAGATGGGGACCCGGAAACGGGACACATAAAGTATTGAAGACACCGAGAACTCAACCCAATGGCGCTCAATGGAAAGTCTACTGACATCCATGTATTCACTCAACAAGTAGATCAGCTAACGCTGTCTCGGAACCATGGCATTGCCAAGCACATCTGAGTTCACTGGTAAGGGCTTTCATACTTTGCTACCAAGTGATTTGGGGCGGGACGGCTCAAGTGCTTAGAGCGCGAATTTACTGATCGGGGGTCCGTGGTTCGAACTCGACCTCTGCCTCTGCCTCTCGACTTCCCCTGTCTAGGCTTGGGCAACCTGGCAGTATCCCAGCCCTCGTGCTTCCTTCGGGTAGCATGGTAGCTAGGCGCCGGAGGGGTGTTACAGCTGAAAGATTTTTTCGCCAAGTGATTTATTGACCCACCTGGCTCATTTCCACCTGTGTGGGTTTATGAAAAAGCTCTCTGAGGAGGTCAGTCAGGTGGTGTACGTAGGTATCCCAGGGGCACTGCAACCAACGGAGTTTCACCAGTCCGTCTATTTCTTCCGAGAACCATTCGACGTAATTCGGCATCACTAACCCGTTGTTCCCACCAAACCCGAACAGTTCTCCAATGACCGAACAGCAGAGGCCTTTTAACGTCCTCAACTCACATCGGCCACGTTTCTGGCCCACTTAAAAATATGGAGAGCACCGTAGCACCATAAACCCGACTGTGCGGTTTTGCTGATTCTTGAGGGGGTAATTAAAAAAAGGTTGGCCCTAAAAACCGCACACTCCGATCGTCTAACTGTTGAACGTGACCACCGGTGCATTATTTAATACGGTCGAAACACTCTTGAAACCAAAGAGCCCGGTGCTGCTCAAAAGGCACCTGCTGTGCGCAGCCGCATCAGGAATGAGACAGTAATGTCTTGCCCCCTGCGCCCTCGGGTTAGGCCAACCCCCTGTAGCCGTGCAGATCAGACTATTGAGTTATCGGCCCCGGGCAGGGTCCCCAAAGAAAACTCTACTGTCCACTGCCTCGCGGGTCAGGTTTTTGTGCCAATGGCTCAAGTTGGGGTACCTCAACCAAACCTCCCACCCCAGCCTAGGTAACCGGGAAGTATCATTTGCTCGCGCATTTCGGTGTCCCCCCTCCCACCACACAAGAAAACGTTACTGGATCACTTGACTGTCAGTTATCCGACTGAAGGGCCCTATGCTCCTCGCTGCCTATTAACAGTACACAACACAGCACCCTTCTAAATCCACGAGATCCTTTTTATGTCCCCCCTCCCACCACACAAGAAAACGTTACTGGATCACTTGACTGTCAGTTATCCGACTGAAGGGCCCTATGCTCCTCGCTGCCTATTAACAGTACACAACACAGCACCCTTCTAAATCCACGAGATCCTTTTTATGTAGGAACTTTTAACTTCCGTACTCTATGTCAAATTAACACACAAGCAATGCTTGCTGAAACCTTATACTCCCTTAAAATTGATGTATGCTGTGTCTCCGAAACACGCATACAAGACCTGAGCCTGATTATGCACTTCAGAACGCCAAGAATGAACCCAGTCCTTTCACATTTCCCCCTCCGTGTGTCCGGTGACCCAGAAGCGATTATTTGTGGAATATATGGCGTGGGAGTTGCACTCAGCCCCGGAGCTGAACGCGCTTTGCTAGATTGGATCCCAGTGAATAGTCGTCTTTGCGCCTCCTGGTTATCCACTTCAAGCACAATGCCTCGGCATAAAAAGCGGTACCTGTTTGTAGTGTCGGCTTATGCCACAACGGACTGCAGTTCTGAGGCGAAGAAGAATACTTCCTATCAAGAGCTATCCGGGCTCATTCTTCAGGCAAAAAGCACTGACACTGGGATCCTTGCAGGCGATTTGAATGCTCAAGTAGGTCGTCTGAGCTTCTTGGAATCACATTTGGGTAGTCGATTCGGAGTCGATGCTCGCCGCGCAAATAACGGAGATCTACTCCTTCAGTTGTGTGCTGACCATGAACTGTTCCTGGCAAGTACGAATTTTCAGCATAAGCGTTTGCATTGTGTAACCCGGTGATCACCAACCGCAACCAACAGTGAACCCAGTTGGACCACGTGGCCATCAGCCACCGGTGGAGAGTTAGAATTCAAGACTGCCGTTCCTTCTGGAGCACACCACTTGATTCCGATCATGCCATCGTGCATGCTTCCCCTAAGGGAAGGATACCAATCCACTATCTTCGAAGAATGGCAACAGCTCAACAGTACCGATCTGGGCTAACCCAACAACTCTCCACGGTAAACTATGGAGTCAGCATGCGGATGAAGCGTGGCAAAATGTGAAAGGAGTTATACTAGCGGCGCTCAGTGCTACCTGCCCGACTTCTCCACTTCGACCGCAAGACCACTGGATATCATCGAGGTCGCTATCCATGATTGATGCCATGAAAGCCATACCAGCGGGCAACGAGTTCGATGGCGCACGCAAATCCCTCAAACGCCAACTACTGAAGAGTCTAAGGAAAGACCAAGAGCTCTGGTTGACGTCGAAAGCTCGGGAGATGGAAAAGGTTTTTGCTACGGGAAACAGCCGTGCCCTACATCAACTGATACATCGATTGGCCCTAGGAAAGCAACAGTCAGCGAAACAATAAGTGGAAAAGATGGCTCACTAATTCACTCGCAAAAATGTCGACTGGAAAGATGCGCCGAACACTTCGAAGAACAGTTCAGCTGGTCCCCTGCAACACAGCCTGTGGAGATAGCGCATACGGGCGAATGGAATGTAAACCTTGATCGCCCTTCGGAAGAAGAAATAAGGTACGAAGTAGCCGCACTGAAACGTGAGAAGGCACCAGGACCAGACGGTCTGTACCCAGCCCTCTTCAAAGAAGGCGGAAATTCCCTGGTGACCCACTTGACAAAGCTTATTGGTACTATGTGGGACGAAGAGCAAGTGCCTGCAGAATGGGGCATGTCGACAGTAATCCACATCTTCAAAAAGGGTATGCGGACGCTGTGTGAAAACTACCGTGGCATCAGCCTATTAGCTGTAGCATCATAGGTGCTCTCTGGTCTTATCCCTCGAAGGTTGGCTGAACACACACAGATCCGTGAAAACTAAGCTGGGTTCCGTCTTGCAAGGGGATGCATCGATCATATCTCCACCCTCCGATAAATTCCGGAACAGCGTCACTGCTTCCAGCAACCAACAATGGTTGTGTTTCTTGATCTGAAAGCCGCCTTTGACTCTGTGGACCGTCAGGCACTATGGCAGTGTCCTCGGAGCAAAGGTGTCCCCCATAAATTCCTGACCCTCTTTAAGGCGCTGTACACCAAATCCCGCAGCTGTGTGAAGGTCTGTGGGAAGCTCTCGCCTGAGTTCACCGCATTAAGTGGTTTAAAACAGGGCTGTCCTCTTTCTTCTTTTCTCTTCAACTTCGTCATTGATACGACCATGGAAAACTGACTACCAGCCTCTAATGCTTGTGGGGTCGAAGTGCTCCATGGGCGTCTGCTCACAGACATTGAGTCGTTATAGCGATATAGGCGATATAGCTCTTATTGGATCTGACCCCGTGATAATGCAAATATTAAATAATCTAAGTAATTCAGCTCCACGGTTTGGCACGCGCTTCACACCTACAAAGTGTAAAGTGCTACTGCAGGACTGGGTGGGTTCAAACTTTGCCTCATGCTTGCGGATGAACCGATTGAGGTCGTAGACAAATTTGTTTATCTGGGCAGCTGTATTAGTCCCGGTGGTCTGGTGAAAGGTGATATTTCCATCCGGATTGGGAAGGCCAGGGCAGCTTTTGTGAATCTGTGTCACCTGTGGTGTAGGCGTGGCATCAACTTATCCATCAAGGGTCGAGTTTAAAATACTGCGGTGCACTCCATACTACTATACGGATCAGAAACCTGGCCGTCGCGCGCTAAGGACGTCAAAATACTTTCAGTGTTTGATCATCAATGCCTGCGGAGCATTGCCCAAATCTGGTGGGAACAGCAGATCAGGAATACTGAAGTTCGTCGAATGGTATTCGGGAGAAATAACTCACCCTCGATAGATGAACTGGTCACATTGCATAGATTGCGCTGGCTTGGCCATGTGTTGCGTATGCCAGTCGACCGAATTCCTCGAAGGGCTCTTTTCGCACAACCACGTGAAGAGTGGAGAAGAGCCAGAGGCGGTCAAACAATGACTTGGCAGTGAAGTATGGAAGTCATTACCAGCAAACTGGGCTGCGCTGGTCATTGCCGTCTTCCTGGATGGGTACTCCGAGACAGGCCACATCAATGATTCGAGACAGTCAGACATGACCCAGTCGCGCCCTCGATGGCGCTCGTGCATCCAAGCTATTGCCTTCAATGTATAGCTCCCCCCCTAATCCTCCCACTTAAAAGCCCACTGGCAGTGCCGGATTTACGCACCAACTTATCAGCCCCCACCTCCAACGCACTGCTATCTAACCCACCTCCCCAAATCATCAGTGAATGAAACTGTGGCAGCTGCAACCACCGTACGACAGGTTCTTATAGCTAATAATGATGATCATAATGACAACTTCAATTGGTTCATCCACAAGCACGAGTCTAGTGTTTGAGCAGTAACTTTTACAGTACCACTTTATACTTTGCGGGTGTGAAGCGCATGCGGAATTATTTGGATTATTCTCTATTATTTGTATTGCCATGGGGTCAGATCCAATAAGAGCTATATCGTCTGCGTACTCGATATCTGTGAGCGGATGTCCCGGGAGCACTTCAGCTCCATAGGCGCTCGTGGCTGATAGTGAGTCTTCCATGGTCTGAACCCAACCTTTGCTCCGACGCGCAGTTGCCTGCTACTTGAAGGAAGCACGAGAGCCGAGATAATGCCAGATTGCCCCAGCCTACACAGGGGAAGTCGAGGGGTAAAGGTCGGGTTCGAACCACGAACCTTCCTGTCAGTAAATCCGCACCCTGACCACTGAGGTGAACGGTGGAAGGTCTTCAAAACCCAGGTGTTCAAATAGCCTCTGACGATATCTTTTTGGTCGTGGAAGAGGAGGAGAAGCCGCAGGTGTTTTTGGATGAACTGGCCAAATTCATCCCGACTTTGGTATGCACTTTGCACCCACAAAGCGTATGGTCATGCTGTCACCGAGCACGCCATAGACAATCCAGGGTGGGGTATTGGAAGTTGTTGAGCTCGGGTTTCTTTCGCTAATTTGAGGCACCTGTGGCATCAAAGTGGTGTATCCCTGAATCTCAAGGGACGTGTGTATCAGACTACAGTGCGGACTGTTTTGTTGTGAGACTTGACCTATTCGAGCAGCGGAACTGAGACGTCTTCAGCTGTTCGACAATCGTTGTCTCAGAACCTTCGCTCGTGTGGGTTGGTTTCCGCGAATCCCAATGAAGCACTTAGAAAGCGAGTTTCATTTTATGCAACAAGAATTTCCACTGGAGAATGTGTCCAGCACCAGACGCTACGTTGGTTAGGCACTGTAGTGCGTATGCCAAGCCATCGTTTGTCGTAGAGATTGCTGTTTCCCGTGCCCTGTTCAGAACGGCAAAAGCCAACCATTGACATGGCAGTGGTTTATGAAAGAGATTACGAAATGTTTGGTTGCTGTTGGTGCTGTTCGCCTTATTGGGTAGGTACCATGTGATCACTGTGCCTGGTTGGAGATATGACTGCAAGATATGACTGCTAATCGATGTCAGTGGCGTTCGTGTTGTAAGTTTCTACCCGGATTGTTGAATGGTGTACAGGTTAGTCGTTTAGCTGTAACAACTTTTCGGTGCCTAGCTGCCACGCTACCCGAAGGAAGTACGGAGGATTGGAGATTGCCGGGTCGCCCAGGCCCAGATACGGAAAGTCGGGAGTCAGAAGTTGGGTTCGAACCACGGTAAATTCGCGCTCTAACCACTGAGCCATCTGTAGGCACCTCGGAATGATTGTAGTAAGATTGCACGAAGTCTCTTCCCCATCATTCTTTGTTCTGTTCTTCACAATAAATCTTTCAAATTAATTCATGATTGTATGGCAGCAAAGCATCGGTGTTGAACGCTGATGTCATGCTGTACATGATGATGATGATGATGATGAGTCACTGAGTTTCCAGTTCATTGTGGATGATTCGTCGTGGCATCTGGCTACATGCATCCACACTTACACAGTGTCCAGATTCTACAGACATATCGATGACATTCTGAAACGGTTATTGATGTAGATGTCGTGACCTGATGGCATACTAAATAAGTGATCTCTAGTTACGGAAATGCTCAACTGAATACAGGCGTGTGAAAAACGGTCGAACCTCCTTTACATAGGTGTAGTTTTTATAGGGAGTTTTCTAAGTTTATTGAGAGTACGGTTATATCACAATATGATATAGCATACGGACTATGCCAAAAATGCACCCAATTCGTTACGAAATCATCATAACAAAGAGAACGTTTTTTTCAGCCCAGCGGAAAAACAATGTGTATCCTGTCTGTTCTTCTCTTTTTTATCGCCCAGCTTATTGAAGATGACGCTGACGCACCACCAGCCAAGCCTGCATCACATTTAGATATCAATTTGAAGGCACGAACTGCCGCGTTATTAGAAGAGGAAGCTGCCGCCGCGAGTGAGGCAAAGCAACGTCGTTCTGGTTTTTCTGCTGGTGATGACGATAGCGGACGCCCTGCACGTGCGAAAAGCAGTTCCGATGATGGCGCTGTGAAGCCGGAATCTGGTGGAACCGAAGTCCTAAGCAAAAAGAAGCTGAAACGGCTCAATCGGCCAAGTGTGGCTTCGTTAAAGCAAATGGTCACCCGACCGGATGTTGTCGAGATGTGGGATGTGTGTGCACGCGATCCTCTTTTGCTCGTGCACCTGAAGGCATACCGTAACACGGTCCCCGTGCCTCGGCATTGGTGCGCGAAGCGAAAATATTTGCAAGGTAAAAGAGGGTTTGAGAAACCGCCGTTCCGACTGCCGGACTTCATCGCTCGGACCGGCATAATGGAGATGAGACAAACGGTTCAAGATAAGGTGAGTGGATTCATTCAAACAGAAAATTGGTTTTTGACTCCGAGTACTATGTCGAGCGCTAATTACAATTTGAGTCCAACGTAAGCGTAGCTCACTTTTATACCGCCCATACTTTGTTTCTGCCCATCTCAATCAAATAGATGTATTCCGTTTTCTTCAGTTCCACTTTTAAAAGATTTTTTCCGACGTTCCGGCGGAATCCGGCCACTGAAACAGGTGTTTCTACTTTTGCTCAGTTGAACGAAAACCTGAATTTCTAAGGGCAGTACATCGTACCCTCTATATGCATTACAACCTGTAGACAAAAGTGATTCCTTCGTGCAAATCGCAATCAGCTGAACGGCAGAACGTTACAGTACGTTAGACAAGCCACGCGGGCGTTTTAAATTAAGTTTTCAAACTACTCGGGACGTAAAGGCTGCCTACCTGCTTCGCTAGTTAACTTACTCGGTCCTCATATTAACAGCTCCGTTCAAATCTAGCTTCATTTGGTACTCAGCGCTTTCTAATTTGAACCACATGCTGGCGTTACGCACAAACGTTTTCGGTGTCTAAACCCCACTAGACCTTTTGCTCTGGGTGAGTTCCGCCAGATGGGTGTAGAGAATTAGTCACTTTGTCTGGCATTCCCACCATGTTGACAGTGTCACATGGAAGGTATGTGTACATGCCATTAACAATAGACAGTAGTGAATTACCAGTAGATCGCTCAGGATGCTCCTGAGCGATTCAACCACCGAACAATAGCTCACTGCTAACAGAGGTTCAGCCGAATACCAACTGAAGCCTTCAACTGAAGGCTTCGCACTACGTGGAATGATATGATAAACAAGGGATTGGCTGCTATCCAGTAGAGTCATTTCCTAACGTAAGTTAATTTACACGTGAATGGACGACCCCACTTTCATACAAATAAGTACTCAATTAGAAAACTATGGCTGACTTTGGAGGAACGAATCTGGTAGTAGGCTTTCGAAGAGTTTTCATCAACCTCATAAGTAGCGTTGTGGATGGGCACTGGTTTTCCAGCAGATAATTTTCCGGGAGCTGCGACCTTTTCGAACAACCAGAATCAACTCCAACTCTAACTCATACGGTGAACTGTTCCCTTTTTTATGTACAGGACTCGGAGAAGACACTGAAAACAAAAATGCGTGAAAAAATCAGGCCGAAAGTCGGCAAAGTCGATATCGACTATCACAAGTTGCACGACGCCTTTTTCAAATATCAAACCAAACCCAAGATGTCCATTCATGGCGATTTGTACTATGAGGGAAAGGAGTTTGAGGTGAAACTGAAGGAGAAAAAACCAGGCAATCTGTCCGAGGAGTTGCGTGCTGCCCTAGGGTTGCCGTCTGGAACGGTGAGTTTTTTTGAGCGCGGTTTCTCGGTACGGGAGCCTATTTCGCATAATCTTCGATGTCATCGGTTTGGACGTTTCACA